TGATGTGACACTAAAATGTGGCAAGTATTAATGTGACACTCCAAAAAAATTAAAAACTCCTTAGTCTACTTTTTTTAAATATGACAACATGACAGGTATGATGTGACACTCCAAAACTTTTGCTCCAAAAAAAAAATCCAAAAGTTCTTCCCAAACGAAACTTTTTTTGTCAAGCTAAAATAGCCCAAAAATCCAAAAACCAAGTTAAAAAGTTCTTCCCAAACGAAGGCTATGTTTGGGACATTTTTTTTTTTTTTACAAGAGGTACAAAAATTATAGAGGAAAGAGAATTTTAAACTTTTGTGTATAGTTTGTTGACTTTTTTGGTTAGTTTAGTGACTTTTTGACTTTAGGTCCTATTTGTTTCGACTTAAAATATTTTACACAAAAAATTATTTTTATTGTAAATTGATTTTACACAGAAAAATTATTTTTATTTTTCGGGGTTTGGTTTACACTTGGAATGAAAATATTTTATTAACTAAAAGAGAAATTTTGATTAAATAAAGTGTCATTTATAATTTTTTAGTGAGCTACACTACAAGAATTTACACATTTTGCGACCACTTTTGCCGACCAAAAAAATTTTGGTCGCAAAAAAATGACATTTGGCGACCAAATATTAATTAGTCGCGAATGATCATTATTTTTGGCGACCAAATATTATTGGTCGCAAAAGATTATATTTTGGCGACCAAAAAAAGAGTTGGTCGCAGAAAGTGGTATGCTTTTGGCTACCAACTACAAATTTGGTCGCGGAAGGTGACATTTTTTTTGGCGACCAAAAATTTGGTTGCCAAAATCTTATTTTCAGCAACCAAAAAAAATTAGTTGCTAAATTAGTACTTTTAGCGACTAATATTTTAGTCGCCATTGAGTGAGATTTGACAACTAAAAAAGTTTGTCGGCGAAGGGTACCTTTTCTGCGACTAATATAATGTTTTGGTCGCCAAAAATTTGGGAGGAAAATTTGAAACGTGGGGCTAGAATTGAATTTCTGAACAAAAATAAAAGCCCTAATCTCCCTTATCTCTATCTAAAAAAAGCCCTAATCTGTCCGCCCTCTCCCTCTCTCTGTGTTCTCTCTCTCAATGGGTGCCCACGCTCTCTAGCTCACCGAAGTAGGAGAGAGATGAACATCTCTGCATCGTGCACACCGAATGGCAAGCAACGTACGCCACCGCTGCATCTCTGCACACTGAATCTCTGCATCGTGCACACTGAACGCCACCGCTGCAAATCGCCATCGCCCTCTGTCTAATGGACTCCTCATTTCTGGGGGATCCTCACCCAATCTCACCTCATCGCAGACCAGCGTCGCACGCCATTGCTAGCTCCACCGCCACCTCTAGCGCCACCGCCGGATCCTCACAGGTTCTCTCTCACTCTCCGTCTGTCTGTCTGTCTCTCTCTATTTCTCGCTGTCTCCCTCTCTAGCCTTTGCCCTTGGTCTCTCTCCCTCTCTCTCTCTTTTGATTTGAATTTTTTGTTTTTCATATTTCTTTATCCTTAAAGTTTTTTTTTTAAGTTAATTTTTTATAAAAATAAAATTTTAAATATTAAAAAATAGAATATTAATAAAAAATTCTAAAAATAATTAAATAAAATCGAACACGTGGCTTCGATATCGTCTGCTTGATGGATGGAAGACGCACACAGATGTATCTAGGGCACGCAGTCTAGTTCAGACGATCACCGGCGTCTCTCTCCCCCTCCTGTTCCTCTTTCTCATCTAGGTCTCACTTCACCTCTCTATTAGTTCGGACCACAAATTTCTTAGCCAAACATGGGATTATGCATTTCGTTGGATTATTAGTCCAATCCCATGGCCATATCGGTCCAAACAAATTGTATGAATATTCCTGGTTTAGCTAATGGGTAGAGTAATTTAGTCTGTATTGCTTGCTTTGATTTCAGTTGCGGAAAGATTAAAGACATAACATTTGTATGTGGTTTGATTACTCAAGTGTTAAATGTGTTAAAGAGGATATATAAACTTTTATTTGAGAAAGTTAAATGTGTTAAAAAAAAAATAGGGAGTGAGAGTCAAATTTGTAAAATTTAGCTTACAAATTTTTAAAAATCAGTAATTTTTTAGAAAATGATGCAAAAATATCTTTTTGTTCAACTAAATAACAAAAAATAAATAAAATATTTTTGATAAAAATATTTTACGTTGAAACAGATGGAACCTTATGCTAAAAAAAAGGTTCGAAACAAGGCTGAGTGTTTAAGATTTAAACTTTTTTTAAAATGATTTTTTGATTTTTTTTTTTAAGGTGCCATTTGAGAACAAGATTTTTAGCTAAAATGATAAAATATTATTTAAAAAGACAAAAATTTTAAAAATTTCAACTCAGAAAAAATTAAAGATTTATTGTCCTTTACTCAATTTTTTCAAAAATTTTAAAAAATAAAAAGAAAAATCTTCCTAAACTTATCACCTCATATTTTAGTCAAAAATTTAAAATGTCACTTACCGATTTAAAAACTGAATGTTTTTGAGAAATTGTTAAAAAATCTTTTTTTTTTTTAATTTTTTTGTGAGTGTTTAAGGCCTTGTTTGATTTGTCTCTTGAGAGACAATTTTTGAGAAAAAATTATTAATAGTTCAGGCACTAAATAAAGAATTTGATAATAATTTAGGGGTAGAAAGTGTAATAAACCCTTATTTTTATAAAGGTTCCTACTATTAGAATTGTTTTCTATTTTGTGATTTTTGATTTACGTATGGTGTGAGCACTTTGAGGTTGATGAATGAATTATAGCTATAGAAGGTAAATTCATAAGTTAGGCCTCTTTTGGAAACATAGTTTTTAACCACTTTTTTGAGTTTGAAGCAAAAGCTAAAAGTTAACTTTTTTATATTTAAAGACATTTTGGAAGTTGGTTTTTAGCTATTAGTGAAATTACAATTCTACCCCTTATGGGTCAAAATATGTTACATGAGTTAAGTTGTAAATATTTTAAATTGAATGGGGGTAGTTTGGTCATTTCATTGTGATTTGACACCATAAACAAATATTAATCAAAAAAATCAAAAGTAACTTTTTATCAACTTTCCAAATCAGTTGTCTAAAAAAGCTAAAAGTTTGGTTAAAAGTCACAAAGTCACTTTTTACCATCTTCTTAAAACACCCCTTAATTATAGTTGCAGTTTTTTATTTTGTATTTATTTTGTTTTACAAACTAAGTAACTAAGTTTTGTCATAACATCTTTTTATGGTATTGGTTTTTTTGATTAAAAAAAAAAAGAGTTTGATTATAACTTATGTTTTTATCTCTACTTTTGATTTAATTTTAGTTACATTTGTGCCAAGAGATTTAACTGAATCGAAAGTAGAGTGAATCAAAAGTAAAGATTTATTTTTACTTGCGATTTAATTATAGTTGCAATGTATGAGGGGATTCCTTTTGGGAAAGGATTTGGAGTAGTGATTGATTATGTATGGAGGAGATGAAACGCAAAGTATAGGTGGATTGATTTTGGGTTTGTAGTGGTCATAAGGGGTAATGGTGAGGGGCCTGAGATTGCAACCAAGTGGAGAAGGGTTGGATACAGGAGAGTAGTAAGGTTGCCATTGTAACAGATGTATATACATATATTTTTGGTGTTTATAAAAATGTATCTGTTGAAGCTAGATATTGTAGAATAAAATTCTCTTTAATTATTGAAGCTTTGGTATCCGTACATATATTTGTTTTAGTTTAAAGCTCTTTAATTGTTTAAACTCTCATTAATTGTTGGAATTAGATTTTGCCTTTTGTAGTACGGAATTGGATAGTTGGTTGTTGCTAATTACAAAGGTAGTGATTAGAGTTGTCTTGTTGTTGGGTTTGCATGTTGGGTTTGCATGCTTACTGTATATTCATATATACTTAAGCTTACCGTGTTTGAAGCTCTGTAAATTCATATATTCATAGAGCTTTTGTATCTAACAGGTTTAGACGAAAATCATGACCTTATTCTTGTCATTCCCATCCTCTGCCTTAGTTTGAAACCACCTTCTTCTTCTTCTTCTATGTTT